TGGCTCCTCTCTCCCTTTGTACTTATTTTTTTTGTTCGTTCATAATATTAACGTCAGCTCCATCGTTTCCTGTTTTGATTGTTTGGATATGTGATGTGAATGTGAAGGTTTGTTAGGTTTATTCTGTCGTGTCCTGCACAAGTTTAGACCTTCAGCTTATACAAAATGTGATTTTCAGTGCATTGAAACCTGCACGTCTAATGTGGTTTTTGTCACTCTGAGAACAAAATGAAGATGAGAGAAAGATAAAGTTTATTCGTCCAACTGTAATTACGACAAAGCTTTAGTTCTTAGCTCTGAGCATTAAAATGGGAGAATTTTAGCTGGTCAGCTTACTGGTCAGTATTGAATATCGTAGACATCAGGGGTGTCATGATTCTGAACCGTGATTACCCCCTTGAACCCCCTTGAAACATATAAACTGAGCCATGGCTCAGAAATCGAGGTCTGAACTTTGGATTTGGAGAACTGTCACACCTCTAGCATCAACACAGAAAGCACAGTGTCGTGCTGTCTTCAAGTCATGGCGGAAATATTGTATTTATGAGATGAACCCAAATTAACATAACCACAATTATTATTTATTTATTAGTAGGAACTTCAATATTAGTTGCTGATGAACTGGCTGCATTTCAATGATTCAGCAGCCACACATAAATACTGCAGACTAAAATTATCCCCACACCAAAATACAAATATAAGCACGTCTTATGATGCTTCTAACTGGATAAGAACATTATTAATCTTATAAACATCCTCTGCTCCTCACTTTGTTGCAGTAACACAAAATAAACAGACTCTCTTTAGTAACAGAAACAAAAGTAAAAACATTATTTACAGTGTGTCTATCTCGAAATCCGAACGTAAATCATTGAAGTTAAATCTTTTACACAATCACCTCAAAGTCGGAAGGAGGAGCAATTGCTGAGTTTTGGCTTGCTGTGAAAGATGGCTTTAGTGTGCATAAGTACATGGCAAAAACATGACCTGTATTATTATTATTATTATTATTATCATTATTATTATTATTATTGTTGTTGCGTACATAAAATAAGACTTTGGTGTGAAAAGGTCATACTACCGCACATCCCCCATCATGTGGCAAACAGTGCAAACACCCACACTGCATTACACAACTAAAGATGTTATAAATGACCTCGATACAACAGCACAGTAGGTTTACTAACATTGAAAGCTGAAAGTACCTCCTGATTTAGGTGCATTTTTTTGTTCGTACTGTGTTATTATGTTTGCATGCAAATTTGATCACCTTACCACTGTAGATATTATCAGCTACTCTGGGACGCTGCCACATTTACCACAACCTTACATCCTGAATTTGCACTGACAAAAATGATGTGTTAGAAACTCACTTTTTCATGTTATCATTATTTTAACATGTTTTGTGTCAAGAAAGTGTAACTAAAACAGAAAATGTGAATATGCTGCATGTAGTTTGTGTTAAAAGTAACACAAATTGAGTTTTTCTTAATTGGACACATTAAGGTGTTGTTTTTAACCCATCTATTGTTAGAGTTGGTGTCTTTTGTTTATGCAGGAAATTAAGTAACCTGTGTCAAAACAGAGCAAAAGCAGACTGGAACTGTTGCTAACGATGGAGAGTCCTAACATAAAAATGTACTTCAAGCAATTTAGTTGGTTTTATTCAAGTCAGCTGAATTATTTTCAGTAAAATGAAGCAAAGTAAAAAAGAAAAGCAGTTCAAATTAAGGAAAATAATGTTCTTCATCAACTTAAGTTGAACAAAAACTTCAAATCAAGCTCTGCCTTTTCTGTTTTTACAGTGGGTTTTTTTTGGAGTACCATTTGCTAATTTGCTGTCTCATCCCCAGTTACTCCCTTCCCCCCTGCCAACCTCTGCTGCAGCCTTGTTTGCCCTGCCGGGCGAGCGTCCAGACATAAGCAGATTACGGTGGGAGGTGAGTTGGGGGCAGACACTGTCCATCTGACCCTCCATATTTCCATATCCTAACCAATGATGACCATCTCTCCTTTCCTAAATCTTCACAGTGTAAATAATGTTATTACTTTGATAGTTTGCACATATCATCAAAACACTACCGCTGTTTTTCCCATTTATGTATGTATTCATTTCTTTATTACACCATATAAAAATACCAACGTCCCTTAACATTGTGTATGCAGTTCATCAACCAATAGAAATAACTTTGCATAAAATCTCATTACATTAAATTCGGGAACGTATTTTTCTTCTCTGATAAAGTTACCATTCCTTTGATTTAAGGTACAACAGCAATGTTGTGTGTTTGTGTTCCTGCTGTATATCCGTGTCTAATGGGTGTGGGCTTTTTGGAGGGATGCTGCCAGTCGATGTCTGTCACTCTAGCAGTTTGGACACATGCAGTATTTGAGCCTTTGATTACCTCCTTCCCTAATCCCTTCAGTTTCCTAAAGAGAGGATTGAGCCCAGCCCTGCGCAAGACACCAGACTGCTCAAACATGCTTTACTCTTTCAATTAGACTTACTGCATTAGTGCTGCTTCATTTATTGCACAAGAGGCTCTAATTAGATCTGTAACAGCGTGGCTCCTATCTATCCACAGGAAGCGCACAACTCTTTCGGGTGGATAAAATAGTTTAAATATGCTCTTGCTCTCACTTGTGTTATAAAATGACAAAAATAGAAAGGAAACACACAGCTGGAATGAATTCTAACCGTATTTTGCGTCAGATTACGTGGCACTGATTTTATCTCTTTTAGTGCACCAAAATGACGTCCTACTGCAAAATGGTTTTGAAATCAGCTGAAATTTAGCTTCATGGTGAAAGGCTTTAGTATTTTAACCCTGCCTGAGTTGCATGGTACCTTTTGATGCCTGTTCTAAAGTTTAGGCATTTCAGCAAATGGTCAAAATACTTTTAGTACTCTTTATATGTCTTTGATATGTTTAACTTAGAAAACTTAGTGTTGATCCTGTCACAATCATAGAAAAACATAACAGAACAGCCAATCTTGGCAAATAGTTCTTCCAGAGTACTGAAGTCATGTACGCATCATTTGAGCATGTCATTTTCTTTTAAATCTGAATAAATCTGGACACAGCTAGTCCTTCTATAAAAACCTAATTGGTCTTGAAGGTGACCAAACATTTTCCAAACAAGTCTAAAAGCAGGAAGTGCTCTTGTATGGCAGACAAGCTTTTTGACAAGCCTGGGTAAAAAAAAAAAAAGAAACAATGCTGTTAACTTACAGACAGTTTGCACAAAATCATCGTTCTTACCCTGCCCCGTCGATCTCTAGGAGTTCAATCTCATCTGGGCCCACCTCATCAATGCCTGTGGTTATCGGAGTCACGCTACAGCATCCCATGTCTGCCGAACTCACAATCTCCTCTGTTCTCCTCTAGTCTTTTCCACTCACCAGTGGTCCAGTGGTCCCTCCCTGTGGCTACACACTGAGGGCCATCTGCCCCTGTGCCCCACTCACCCCAACAACCTGCCCTGCACCCTGACCCAAACACGGCCACGCGCCCAGACCTTTAGGGGTGGGGTGAAGGGGGGGACGCAACAACACAGCACTAGAGAGAGATAAAGAGAAAGCAAAACAGCCTGGAAGGCAAAGACATGGCAGTAAGAAATGCTTGTCTTAAAGCCTTCTAGAGGTCCAGCAAAACAGTTTGGGGAAAAAAAATGAGGAAAGTGCTGAGAAGCTCTCAGGAAAACATAAGGCTACAAAGATACTCAAGCAGACATACTCTGTATTGCAAGAGACATGTGCTGCACTCTTTCTTCCTGTCAGTTTGAGTCGTGACGCAGCTGTGGCCAAGACAACTTCCTCAGTTTCACCCTGAGCTGCCTAACTGCTGCCTCTTGGTGAGGGCAATACAAATGAAACTATTAATTACAGCCAGCATGACACACGGAGGAGATCTAGAAGCAATGCTGCTGGAGTAATACCCAGATATGATGATTACATGTCGTGGAGCCCATATACAAACAATAGTAGTCACAACACCAGACCACAAATTGAACGTGAGGTGTGAGGTGTGTTTATAGTGAGGGATGGTACACAGTGTTCAGCTGAATTTGGGGTTAACGCTTAATGTATTTGTTGCTTGAAAACACTGGTGGGTGGCCACATGATTGATATGGTGTGGTCCACTAACTTGTTGTTAGTGGTGTTACACTCTCAGTATGTTTTATTGACCTTTCTAGGTCTCTAAGACATAAGAATCCATTGAAAGTTTTTTTTTTTTAGGGTATCAAAAGTGGTTTTTCAATGTCATTGCACAAGGAACCCTTTTGGCACCTTTATATTTAAGAGTGTGGACTCTGGAGTGAACATTCCATTGTTTTGAGAACATCAGCAGATTCTTTGATTGATTTGCAGATTTTCTTCATTTGAAAGCCTGGATAAAAACACATGGAGCTTGATTTTCTCCTATCTCTCAAAGATGAATGCTTCAGTTATGAGTTTTGGTGGTCTGTAGGGTCCTGCACTGTTGTTAGGAGTCCCATTTTCTCTGTATCTCTGAACAACTACAGTGTTTAATTCATTTATGTAAAGAAATGATCTTATATGTAATTTCCATAAAAATATCTCCTGAAAAAGAAACACCTTTGACAGGAAATTAAATAAATGAAGGGTCTCTGACCTTTGCAAAGTACTGTGTCCATCCTCACAGTTTTGTGGTGAGCTGTTCCAGTAGAAGCCAAGCCACAAACTGAGAGTGAGGTGTGTGTTTATAGTGAGGAATGGTACACAGTGTTCAGTTGAATTTGAGCTTAGCTTTGGCAAATTTTGTTGTTTGGTGGAAATGGAAAAAGTGGTGGGTGGCCACATGATGGATATGGTTGCACCATAAGGTTCTTCACTGTTATTACATTCTCAACATACTTTAATGACATCTGTAAGCCTCCACATGAACAAATATGGCAGAAATTGGCATTAACACAGTAACACGTTTCAAACCTCATAATCTTTATTATCTTTATTTATTTTGAATTCTATAGTTCTGTGTATGCTGCTTGTACTAGGGAGAGTACCTTGCATTTGCGTTTTTGCACATCACTTGTCTCAGTCCTGCAATAATGCATCGTGTATGTTCATCCTAAGTCTTTACTGGTGAACTGTTCTCTGTGCTGGTGAAGGATTCCAGCTTTTCTGAGCGTAAAGGCTGACAAGAGAGTGACTGGGCCAGATCAGATTCTGTTGGCTTCAGATAGGCGCTCCGTCCATACTGGCTGCCTTGAGCTCTGAGCCCACGGGTCAGGTTTAATGCTTCGCTCAGCACGGGACTGGACAGAGATGTGATGGTACTCTTAGCCCTTGCTGTCTGTGGTGGCATTCTGAAGTCAGTAGTCATTCCAGACTGCTGCCATGTACACTTGTTGAGGCGCAATTCCACACGATTTTGGGTGGCTTTCCTAGTGCGTCGGCTCTTTTCTGCAGGTTTAGCCCTGCGACTTTTTTGGTTCGTAGCTGTTTTTCCTGAGACTTGCTTAGACTGGGACTTAGCAATCTGTTGGTCACATAAGATGGCCTTGAAGACCGAGGGGGTGGGGCCTGAAGAGTGGGAGGGGCATGCTGAGAAAGGCACATTATGGTTGGCTGGTGTTTCTGAGGTAGTTATGTCAGTGGGAGATGCAAATGCCTCACTGGTTGAATTCTGTTTTGGCTCAACAGGCTCCACAAAAGATGATAAAGATGAAGCAGTGGAAGAGGAACAGGAGGAATTGGCTAATACAGAAGGTGCAGAATGATTGGCCATGGTTTCAGAGCAACATGTGGACCCTGTGGTCCAATTGGCAGAATTATCACCATTTGGTGCCATAGTAGCTCTGTTTGTTTTCTTAGGGGCGGAGCCGCTCCTGGGATGAGCCGTCCAGAGCAGTCCCGCTGTTCTACTCCTTTGCTTTGTGAAAGGTATGCTTGTGCTCTCACCACAATACAGTAGAACAAAGTCTGTCTGGCTGCTCAGAGGAAACAGCTTCAGCCCACCACGGTGTTTGTTGAAGATCTCTAAGGCAAGATCTAGGAAAAGATAAGATGCTCTGCTGTGAAACCCATAACAGCTAGAATTGGGTGTGAATGCAACACGAACTATAAATAACCCTGAACCACAACTGCAATCACACATATTCATGGTATACATACACATCTACTCCCTCATGGTTACACACCTTGCACCTTGTTTCTTACGCAAACACAAATAACTATGTGCTGCTTTCTATTAGCTTTAAAACTCTACTTATAAAAATGCCCTTGGCTTGGATGTACACACTTAAAAGTAAAAGTTGCTTAATATTTCTTGGCGTGGATGTACAGTCCTAAGGCATGCCTACACTAGACGCTTTTTAGCTCAATTTTAACCCCACTTTGCCCCTTCTGGCAAATTGTCACTAAAACTGAAGCCAATGAGACAGGATTGAGAAAAAAGGGCAAAAAATGGTGAATGCATGCCACATGTGCTGCAAATGACAGGCAGAGGAGCTGCTTGCTGAACACAGGTAGATAAAAGCCATTGTGATGTTTACAATGTATGGGCCCAGACATTAAGGCACTCTTGTAGTACAGTATTTCTCCAGCTAACACTGCAGAATAGAATGATATCTGTGCTTCTCAATTGAATTTTCATCCTCAGTTTGCATTTTCATTAGTTTTTGTGTCTGATTAAAAACTCAAACTCAGCTTTGCTGGTATCATATGAGATTTGGGGTATTTGAGGGTATTTGGTATTTTATTAAATTTTATTTTTTGTAGCTGAAATTCATTTTGTGTGTTTCGCTTTTCTTTTTGCCTTATCATCTAGTGCAGTTGTTCTCAAACTGGTCCTCAAGGACCCCGCGATGGTCCTTATTTTTCTCCAACCTAACTTGCAACGCACAGAGATAGAGCAAAAAATATGATCTGTCTAGGAGTCCCTGAGGACCACTGGTCTAGTATGTGCACTCTCACAAAAAAAAACAAGAATTTGTAACGCTTTAAATTGACTTCTGCTACATAATGTTGACATAACCATGCCATAATCATGTCATGGCAGATGTTGTGAGTTGTCATGACAGATTTTGTTCAACAATATAGCAGCGTCTTGTTCCCATTATCAGTAGTTGTCATGACAGAATGGCAGCTTACGTCACCTTCAAATTTTTTCTAAATGTACTTTTTTCTAAATGTAGTTAGCCAGTCAAAACATCAAACATTATGACATCTGTCATAACAATTAATGGTAATGTCACACTGCGATGTTATATCACTGAATCTAATCTGTCACCCCTATTCATGACAGCATATGACCTCTGCCATGACATGTTTATGGTGGTATGGTGGGTGGTTCAGGTCCAAAAAGTAAAAATCCTCCCCAGGATTTAGTTTCTACTGCCTGGGTTCTCTACTTTGCTCAAACCTGGAGCAAAGATGTTCAGGCCTGGGGAGCATTAGGTTGAAGTAAAGTGTTACCCAAGAAATTCTGCTTCTCTGCTTTTGAAATTTGAACCTACTTTATTCAGTGTAGAATCTTCATGTTATGTAAAGGTTCTGTACACTTTAAAAAGGTTCCTCACATTTACCAAACTGGCTCTTTAAAGATCTATCTTTTGAAAGGTTCTTTAGAGAACCGAAAGTTGTTCTTCTGCTGCTCCAATTAATTGTTTTTGAAACTTTAATTTTTAAGAGCATAGTTTGGCCCAGCTACTTTCACTTTGGCCTTACCCAGGGTTTCAGTCACTGTTCTTGGCACCACCTCCTTTAGCACTTCACAGTTTGTATGAAGGGCAGGGTTGCAGTTCATTTCTAGCAGCCAGACCTACAAATAACCACATGCTGTGAATATAATGCAAGCACATTTTTGTATATGAAGCATATAAGCAGATGAGCTCGACTTCACACTGCCTGTATTACTTAGTTTTAATAATTCATTGTTCTACTTTATTCAGTGGTGCTTAAAGTACATTACCAAATGATTCATTTACAATCGATCCAATGTAGGTATGGTGTATCATTTGTTTATTAATCAAGTCCTAACCATTAGATGGCATCCTTACCTCACTGTTCAAAAAGTCAGTTTTTTGTAATAGAAGGTAAAAAATGTCTTTTTTGAAATGTCTGTTAAAAAACAGGCCATGTCAACATGCTGATGAAAGGAGAAGGCTGTAGGCCTATGGCATTGCTATAACATAAATTGTGATATATGATGTGGTGATTTCTTTTTTTCCTCATGCTCTCATTATGATTTGATTTAACTCAGAAATATGAAGCAATATCTGCAGAAAGCAAAGTTTGACTCTACTGCACATACAGCATGTCTTTAATGAATGGACATACTACATATATAGTACACTGATACTGTGATCAACTCGTGTGCATCAGGCTACACCAAATACAAATGATGCTCTGAAATTCTCAACATGATTAGCCTATTATTTAAACAGCCTGGTTTGATAACTGTTACTCGTTGTAATGTTAATGACACATTACCTCTTAAATGTGTGATAAATGATCAGAATAAACCACAGTGGCTTTAAAATGTCTAATTTTACCTGAAACCTGTGTCCCACTGTATCTAGTTTGTTCAGCAGAAATGAGACAGTACCTAAGATCCACTTTGCAAAATCATTTTGACAGTACATACACATTCTCCCACTTCTGCTAAACTCAGCAAAAGTATTGTCCTAGAAATAGGGCATAAAGTGACTATATTCTGAATACTAGTATAATGTAACATGGACTGAATATAAATACTTCATTTCTGTATTTTGAAGACATATTATGAATACTTGTATTCATATATGACATCCTAACCTTGTTTACTGATCACATGAAACTAACATCGTTTATTTTATATATATATATATATATATATATGCTTTCTGGGCAGAAGTAAAGTTCTCCATTATAGGCCCTCTATATCCTAACATCTTACAATCAGCATTGTGTAAACTGCATACCTAAGGCATCACACACTCGTTAGGTAATCTCAAATAGACTTGCTTACATTGTTTCCGACACTGACATCCATACAAATGTGATTTTAATTATCCTATTCCTTTAAAAATGACAGGAATAAGGATTAATAAACCCACCTGCTGTGATTCAGTGTGAAACACTCAACTCAGACAGATACTAGTAAACTGTTGATTGGATCACACATGAATGCATAATGATCCAGTAAGATGGTGTCTCCAGCTTGGGGACCACATGTTTACTGCTGCTGGTACGCAGGTTGCCTAGCAACTGCTTGACAGGGTAAAATTTAGGATGCACCATAGGGAGGAACTGTGATTTTAGAACATGAAGTTTTCTGAGAATTATTCAAACATTTGAAAACTGTAACATAAATTGACTTGAAAGAACTGAGATTATGATATAAACAAACACTGATCATTACAAAGATACTTTTGTCACGCTTCTTATTGCGCTTTCAAGATCATTTTGATAATAATCCCCTGTGTTTCTCTAAAGCATGCTGCCAAGCCTCTGGTGAGGTTAGCACAGAAAACACACAAACATGCAGGCTGCTGTGCGAGTGCACACACGCAGACACAGAAACTAGCAGACTGTGCAGTATTGTTTAAATACAGTATCTCACCTTGAAGTCGTCATCAATCAAGAAGTCGCAGCCAATTAGATCAAAGTAGCCCGGTTTACACTCCAGCTTAGATTTGACAGCCAGAAAGCACTGTATCATAATCTGCTGCATACGTTTCTGTAGAATCAAACACACAAGCACATTGTTTGCACATCTCAATAGTATAATATATTACTGTAGCTAAATACAGAAAAGATACTATGCAAACGTCACTATTTCCAGTCAAAATAAGCATTTAGAACATGGTAATCATATTTGACGCTTTGCCTTCATTACAACTTCCATTCTTTTCAGAAGACTTACTTTTAGTTTTCAAAGACACCTCAAGCCATATTTTTACCTCCAAAGTTCAGTCTTAGCATTTTCTACTTCTCACAAACCCAGAAATCCCAAACACATTCAGTGATATTGAGGTCTGGATTCTGGGGTGGTCAGTCCATTGTTCTGAGAACACTAGCTTCTTTGTTTGATTTGTGAATGTTCTTTTTTTTTTTGTCTATTTCCTTTTCTCAGTAATGGCTTCTTGACAGCTGTACATCCTTTTAGACTCATAGTGTCGAGGTGTTTTCTCACAGTGAAAGGGTGGACAGAAACTCCTGTGGTTTTTTTTTTCCCCAGATCTGAAGCGAGGGTGGCGCTTGATTTTCTTCTCTCCCTCAAAGATGAAAGTACTTTAACTACTGTTTATCTGATGGTGACAGTTTTGGTGGTCTGCCAAGTCTTGCACAGTTGTTAGGAGTCATATTTTATCTATATCTTCCTTGAACTGCAGTTTTGAAGCTCTTGTTTTTTTTCCCCCTTATTTTCCTTTGACATTCTGCTCTGGATTATCTTATATTATCTAATCTACACAGAAATATCTCCTAAAACATGACAAATGTATACTTAATGGAAATAATGTAAATTACCTGGAAATTAAATAAATGAAGGGTGGTCGCTGACTTGACCTGCGCACCCATTTCCCCCTTTACAACAGCCTATGGGACAGAGGTTATACCTCAATACTGCCACACCAGTCATATCACCAAACACACTAGCTGAGTTTCAGCTGCAGTTCAACCAATATACACACTCAGCAGCTCAGAACTGTTTTTAATTAAATTGTAAGTTTTCATGTAACATTTCATGGTCTACTACCATGCCTGTATTTTGTTGACATTTTGCCATACTTTGAATAAACAATGGCCAGTTCATATTATAGCAAAGTTGTATTTAACAATGAAATAAAAACATAGGTGATCTCTGGCCATTTTTAATATGACCCTTTTAGTGGTTGAGTTTGACACTCCTGCTCTAGACCCACATGTCTGGATCTTGACCTAATCTTAATTGTAATTTCAGTTACCAAAACACTTTGTCCCCTTAATAAGAATAAATCAGAATATGTATTATATAGTCATGTAACAACTACAGGATATGGGCAGGACTTGGAATTATTAACGTATTACTGTAAACCAGGATCAAATAATTATGTTCTGTATTTGTCGTTAATGATTGACCTTGTGCAAAGATTTTATGTTTCCTTGTATAACTGGCAGTTACGTCACACTGTTGGGGTCCAAGTTATGCCCATAAGCTGTAAACTCAGCTGTTTCCTTTGAACCGTAAACACAGCTTGAATTTAATTTGTGAATTTCTGAACACTTTTTAAACCACTGACACCGTGATGGCACTCAGATTCTACCCCTCTATCTAATACCATAATACTGCCTTTCGCCATACTTACCTATAACAGCTTCTTCGTCTAACTTCTCATTAATCCCCTTAGATTCAAGGGAAGATTATATCTACAGTTCTCGCCACAGTACCCTATTCCTCAGTGTGTCTTACTGAACAAAACAGGTTTAGAAAGAGTTATAAGTAGAAACTGCCTATAAGGCAGTAATGGCTTCTTGTCAGCTACACATCCTTTCAGACTCAGTGTTGAGTTGCCTTCTCGCAGTGGAAGACTGGACAAAAACACCTGTGTTTTTTCCAGATTTGAAGCAAGAGTGGAGCTTTTTTTTTCTCCTCTCTCTCAAAGGTGAAAGTACTTTCAAGTACTGCTTATCGGATGGTGACAGTTTTGATGGTCTAACAGGTCTTGCACAGTTGTTAGGAGTCATGTTATCTATATCTTTTTGTATTTTTTTTATATTATATCAAATCATTTTTTAAATTTGTTTTTTCACTTTGGACAATTTTTCATTTAATTTTTCTTTTCTAGTTTGAAAAAATAACAAGAAACTCACATTTCTCCTTTGACTATCTCATTTTGTATGCAAGTGAATTATCTTTTTATATAATGTCTTCAGAAATATCCTAAAAAATGCCTGAAAATAAAATAAATGCAAAGTGGACTTTGTATTACAACTATTTACACCCCCCTTCCCAATATTCCCATATTAAATCTGTTTTCCAAACTGGTAGTGTAGCAAGTAAAACAAAACTCACTGCAAAAACACTCAAAACCCAGTCTTTTGGCAAATCCTTGGGCTCCATGAACTTCTCATTAACGTAGGCATTGAAGCGCTCCATGGACCAGACTGTTTCTTCCTTCAGCATGCTGTACAGAGGGTTCTTCTTCTGCATATACTGCATTTAAAATCAGGTAGAAATTAATCAGAAGTGAGAAACAGAGAGTTTCCCAAAGGCAAAATATTTAGGAATATATTATTAATAAATAATGATTTACCTGGTTGGTCAAATGTGCTGAGAGGTTGTAGGAATTGGGGTCATAAAGGTCACAGGTCAGTCGAACATAACCATGGCGAAAGAACACCATGTATGGTGAGGTACAGGCGATAAGTAAGTATGATCTTACATCAAACTTTTTGCCTTTAAGGAGCAGAGGGTTCTGGATGTACCTAAAAAAAATCCAAGACTTCGGGTCTATAGACTATAAAACTATTTTAATAACCAAGTAAAATGAATGAAATAAAGGCACAGTTACAAATAATAAAATGTAAAGTCATCCATTGTACGCACCGTTGAACAATCTGTGCCTGTGGCATACGGAAAGGAAACTTCCTGTTTGTTAGGCCGTCTGCTTTGTTCTCAATTTTGGCTCTGAAGGCCATGATGTCCTCCAGGTTTCGCAGGAGGAAAATGCCTCGTCCCTGGTTTAGGCCTGTTGGCTTGCAGATCCACATGTTACCTTCGCCAGCATGTAATCCTACATCAGGGACAGAACATGGCACAATATGAAAGAACATTGGTTCTTCAGATTAGTGTCATTGATAACACTAATTGAATATAGTGAATCATAAGCTACTTCATATTACAAATTCATGAACTGTGAAATCAATTGACGCTCCCACACTTCACATGCTTCATATCGCTCTGAGTAACGTCATAGCTACGAGGAAGTGGCACTCATTTACAAATGCTCAGGTTTGGGATTCAAGAGAAAGATTGGTCACTCTCTACATTCTTTTCCAAATAACCAGACCAAATCAAAATGGCTCACATTTCTTTCTGGGGTTGAAGTGAGGCCCAGCACATGAGTTTGTATTGAGCATTTATTGCCGACTCATTTGAAAACTTGGCTCAATGTAGCTCCCCTCTGTACAGTTTTGCCAGCTGACTCAAGCTGAAAGGAACAGCTTTCGCAATACTTACTGGAGGAAATGTGGATGATAAGACAGTAAATCTTTATTTTTAAATGACCATCATTACTTGACACTTTACTCCATTATGTATCTACCAATAACAATACAGCAAAATATGCAGGCTAATGTTAGCTAATTTGTAATCTAATTTAGCTAGCTTGCTAACATTACATAAATGTTAAAAAGCTACCTGCCATCAAATATTATGCATCTGAGATGCAAGACAGCTACAAAGTCATTTTTGTAATGTTATATGAGATGATATACTGGAATTTTTGAAACTGCCAATAGTCATTGACTCTCCCGCTGTATAGTTCAAGACTGTTAGCTGGTTATTCAGCCAAATAAAAGCTAGCTAGCTAATGTTAGCTAACAGCTGAGCCTCGGTCAATGGCGGAATCTATACTGTGATAAAAAGTGGCTAATCATATTTATAATATATAAAAGTGCAGGGATGATACAGGGCATTACAGTGTAACAGGATTTTATGGCTGAAGTAATTTTAGACCATTTCTACTGGTCCATTCATCATGAAATGTTCACACAAAGTGAAGGGCAGCTGCTATTATTAAATGACATAAAATGAAAAATGAAGCCGCCACGTTTTGACAGGAATGATATGTTATTTGCTTTTCATTAAGAGGGTTTAGACCACAGTACATGTATGTAAAATAAACCTCTATGCAAAGCGATTCAACTACATCATAATTCGCACTTACCCTCTTGCTGGGCAAAGAAAGCTTCCCTCTCATCTTTCACATCCATGCGGAACGTGTCTGGAATAAACTCTTCCATCTTCATCTTCCTACAAAACACATTGTGTTTCTTAATGAACTCTTTCATTAAAAAAATTAGGAACATATTTCTCATATAGGAATTTTGTACTGTTATTGTTAGTATATTATCTAAGGTATGTGGTGTTTGACCTGAGTCCTTGCCCCTGCTTGACCTTACTGCAGACCCTGTCATACTCTCGTAGACTGTTGAGGAGGCCTATCTTAGTGGTCAGGACTTTGTTATTTGGGATCTGGTAAACCAGCTGTTCTCCTACAAGTGGAAAAAAATCACAACCCCAACATGACATAAATGGAATAAGTGAATTTGAGGCTATGCTGTTAAAATTCAGTGTCACAAAAGAATGACCTGCTCTGAAGCTGTTATAGGTGCGTGGAGCTTTAAGTTCGCACCACTTTAGCTTGTAGTCTTCTCGAGTCTTGTCATAAATACGTTGCCAGCCTTTGCTCTCACAGTATGGAATTACTCTAAATGACATAGGAACAAAAATGTTGAGATTGCAGTAGTTCATTCCATGTGAACATTAGAAATGTATGTATTATTTCCACATTTGTTCTTGACAGATTTTCACTTTCATAACTACGTAACTTACAAAGTGGTTTGTTTAGGATTAGATACATTTAGAAATCTTAAGGCCTTAACACACTAAGCATGGTTTAATTGTGCAGTTAGTTTGGAAAGTAAATTAAATAGTCACACCAAACTTAATTTTCTAAGGAAAATATGACATTATTTAATTTACTTTCTGTTCAATTTTTCAAGGCCACCTCTGGCATTGATATGGCTTTTTGTGAGGAGCAAATAAATATCTTTGGACACTTGAAGATATTCTGCCTGCTTTTTTTCTTTTTCAAAGCACAAACAGCACAGGAACATTTTTTAAAAATTGTGTCTTGTCTGTTTTTTTTATTTCATTTTTATGTTGGTTATTTGCATCATGTTCAGCAGCCTTTAAGATTAATGACTGAATAATAAGCATCTAAAGCTGGAGATTCTTCTATGCATGTATATGACCTGTATTTGCATCGTCAGGTCATCTGAGTGAAGCGTGAAATTTTGGAAGTAATCACCCTTGTGAACCAGGGTTGGTAGGTCTCAATCACTCACATGGAGGCTCCGTTTCCACCTCCAAAAAAGAAGAAGGATCCAGGACCTCGTGGCTCGTCTGGATGCTTGTCCCCATCCTTGTCCGTCTGTGGACAGTGCACCTGCACAGCGTCTCTCTGCTGTTTTAGCATTGACCTCCTACTCACACCCAGACAGTGCTCAACCAAGCAGATGGAGGCTGATCAGTCACATGCAAAAGATAATTAAAGGAAGGTTTTGATTTCATAAGATGCAATAATGTTTATGTAGTTGGTAGCACAATTTCCTATCTTTGAATACTTACAGGTTCATTCTTAAAGACTGGTCAGTGACTTAGGCCCTAAGGGCATAACAGATTAGAATTATTGTTTTACATATTGCCATTATGGTTTTATTTTAAGCTCATTTCAGAGGTGTTGACATTGCGTTATTGTCGCCCTTCCCAGAGACTAATGTTGCTCAGATAAGTGTCACTATACTTGCATATTTGAGATGATTCATCAAACTTGTTGTGAATGTACTTGTTTACTAACTTTTTTCTTATTATTTAATAATTTAAAGTCCGCTTACTCGTGATTGCCATGAATTTTTACTTTATAAACCATCACTTTGCTGTGGGCATCCATGTTTTTTCTGAATATAAGCACAGATTGGAAGTTGAGAATGTTGACTTGGAAATATTTAGTTCAACTTTAGTTGCTTGAAACCTGCGTGAAACTATGTGCATAATGTACAGTGTCCTGCTGGTTGTTAAAACCCAGCTGCAACAATTGCTGAGTGTCTGAACTTCATGAAACAAATTTTATGAAACAGCTAGTAAAAGCACAAAGTGTGTCACATTGAACGACATACTTTCAGTCCATTAATTTCATCAGATCAGTGGACACGAAAATAAAAAAAGAGGTTTATTGGGCACTTGAAAAAGAGACACTGAGAGACTGAGTGTGTTTCGTGTACCTATGATTGTTTTTCATTTGCTTCATGTAACTATCAAGAAAATATGTTGCAAGAAACTTACGATAACAAAGTTTCACTGCGTAAAGACAGCCTAAGATTTGTTGAATTTAATCCTATGACAGTGTATTGGATTATGACCAAGGGGATCAACAGTGTCAGAGAGGCCCATGATCCAACAAGGTGTTTAATTAACCCCAGTAGTGTTCTATAGACACTGAACACAGACACATTTAAACTGTTTCGCTCTTGGGGTCAATTCAAATCTAACCCTTAAAAAATATTACATTATTAAATACATGCATAGCACTAGACCACCTGGTTATTATTCTCAAAGCAAGATTTCTCTCACTTGTGGAAAATGGATAATGTAAGCCATGTCCCCTCTGCTACTGGCCGGTCTTGACTTTTTGCATTTATTTGCTTAACTGAGAAATCCTCACTCCATGAACTGCCCCCCTGATAGTAAACATGTTCTCAGGAAGGACCGTGTTAATCTCAGGAGACTAATTAACATATGGCCTGGGTAGGCTGCAGTAATGACTAGTGAAGAGCGGCCAGAGTTAATGACAGTCTTTCCCCTCACCCGTACACACGCATATCCATATACACACACCTGGCGCAGCTCCATCTGCCTGGATCACCTGTTTTTCATTCATCCCCTGGGTATCCTGCCTTCTCCCACGAGTCTTCATCCTCTTCTGCTGTTTATCTTCACCTACATGCTCCAGCGTCCCCTCCTTTCCACCCTGCGCCTCATCCTTTCCACCCTCTCTCTTGGCCTCCTCCAACTCCTCCGTAACCATAGCATCTCCACAGACACGCTCTTCACCCTGCGGCTGTCCCGTAACACACTCCTCACTCCTCTGAGTAGGCTCTCCCCAGCTGGCCGATGACATCACTGTCGCTGACCTAGATTAACGGAGTGGAACGAGGATTTTCCGTCCACCATGTCATCAGGGCCTGCCCACCTGTGGCTGACCTGTGTGGATGCTGGGAACACAGCAATCTGCATGAGTGCATAAGTGTACATATCTGGTTAATCTTCAGCTTGGCATTTGCTGTGATTGCTGGGGTATGAAACCAGAGGCGTGGTTTCAAGAAAACAGGCCAAAGTATCAGGAATGGTTTAAGGCATAATTTCTAATCTTAAACTGTGGCCATGCAAGAAAAGTAACAAGAAATAAGTCAACTTTACTTATTTATTTCTATAGCATTTCATGGAAAACTCACTTTTAGAAATAAACGTGTTTTATATAGTATGCAAACACTGTTGAGATTTTCTTGATTTTCTAAGTGAAATAAAGTACAAAATTTCTGTAGAGAACATACTTCTACGAATTTATTGCACAATTACTGTTTCTTTGCTGAATTTAACATATTTGGGGAAAAAATGAACATAAAATGTGGCCTTTGCAAAAGTTATGGCACATTTGTACATTTTATGTTTTTACTTAGAAAATCAACAAAAACATTTGATCAGGGGTGTTCAAACTTTTTTGCGTATGACCGTACCATTCACTCTCTGGTCCATATTGTCCATATATGGTAAATAAGCTGCAAAACAGCCCAGTTTAAATGCATTGTTTATGTGATGTCACAAAACTCACACCTTTGTGTATACCCACCTATTCAACCAACGGCAGTTCAGCCCCACCCATTCATGCTTAAGTTATAAACAGTGTTTCTACCTGGAGTGCTTTTTGAATGAGGCACAACACAGGACAGCCAATCAGATCAAAGCTCATTTGCAGAAAATTAATGATGACTGTTTTTTGGTACATAAAACACAAATGTCATAAATTGACCTCAGAGAACAAAAGTAAAATTCAAGAAAAGTGCAGGATATGGGCTTTTTAAAGACGACAGCTGTGGGACAATTTCAAAATACAGTGAAGGCATTTTAAATAAAAATAAAATAGAGCAAAAAATAAATGAATTGGTTAAAACAATAAAAAGCAGTACAGTACATAAACCATGAGTGACAAAACTGACTGGAGAGATTAAAAGGTTAAAAACACAAATACAGCCTGGGAGAATGAAAACCTTAAAAATGTCTGCTGTGGGGATGAAAAGGGGTCTTGAAGCTGCAACAGAAATGGTCTTTCACACACAAGATTTAAGAATGAAATGTGTAAGAATTGGACAAGTATGTTTGATTTATTTGGCCCCCTTGGTCTCCATTAGCTAAGGTGAACTGTCTGCCAAGCCCTGATACAGAAGGTGTAATGCCAGTTCTCAAGCAGTAGAGAAAAGATGTTGTTTTTACCTCCATGAAAGAATCAATGCATCTAAACTGGCTGTTGTGGGACGATATGCCAGCTTGCTGTTCTGCAGTTAGCCCACACGCCAAAGGCACTGAGGCAGAGTTACTCAGTGTATGAACAAACTAACCAGAGCAGAGTAAACAGCTACCCGTTGCCTGGGAACTTGGTATCCTAGTAACAGCTTCTCATTGTGAACGGAACCTCAGAACAATAGAAGGCGAGGAAATGATTCCATGCGCTCTCCGAACCAACTTGCGGGTTTAAAGTCATTCAATATTAATTGTTGCCAAGCTCACTGTTTTGGCACAGAAGTAATATGAGAACGGGGTGTCAATCATAATGGATTTGTGTGGTGGGGGGTTTCATCCCATTGTGTGAGATTAGGTGTAAAATAACATTTGCCACAGGGCAACAGGATCCAGCATCAAATATAACAAAACACATTCCAGCTCTGTTCTCTCCTACTATTCTACTGCTAAATAAAAATCTCAGTCACAATGGGGTGTTTGTGCTACAGAGGCCTTCCCAACAACTTCAGTAAGGAGTATATGAACATGTAAAGCAGTTGTTCTATAATTGTTGGTATGTCACTTCCATAGAATATGTTTTTGATGCATTTTCGGTAATAAATATATTTTTTAATTGTTGTCCTAAAGGGACTTTCTTCATAATCCAGTGGATGTAAACAAATGTAAACAAAATCAGTGTGTTTTTAAGTTAAATAGTTAATTGTAGAGAACCTTACTGACTTTTTTTCTGTTTTCTTCACTACTACTTCCTGGTGATGTGAGCCAGCAATGTTTACAACACAAATACAGCCATTTTATTATACCAGTAAGGCTGCATGTATCTTTAAAAAAAAAAAGATAAAATAAGTCTTCTTTGGGGACTATTTTGCCTCACAACATTGTCATGAATCGCAATTGCTGTTTAAAAAATATCTTTTGACCCTTAACTATTGTAAAACAAAGTCTCAGCCATCAGAAAGCATGTTTGTAAGCGTAATAACTTTGTGTTTTTAAAGGCAATAAACACTCAAAAGTCTGGTTCCTGTCATCACTGCTTTAAGACTCATTCACATCAAACCTTTCAAAATGAATTTTACATCAATATAATTTAATTATGCAGATATTTTAAAAAATGAAGGAATTACCCTTTAAGATAATATTATATGATAATAGGTCAAATGTATTTTTAAGATTGTGTTTTTTGTAAAATAGAAGGCAAGAATTTGAATAGCTGAAGGGCCAGTTTCTCAAAAAAAAACAAGTTTTCTCACTTGTTTTAAAGTGTACTGATCACTCCCCAGTCCATAAAGTTTCTGAAACTAAGCTGCTAAAACAGCTGGTGTTGAATTTACTGTTGACAAAAAACAATAATTTACATAGTGCTGCCTATTCAGCCTACAGCAGTTTAGCCCCGCCCATTCACGCTGGAGTTACAAAGAGTGTTTCAGCCCAGACTGTTTTTAGAACGAGGCATAAAACTGGATAGCCAATTAGAATACAGCTCATTTACATATGTCCATCTCAAAGACACAGTCTTTTTAAAAACAGCCTGTTTAATTCTAGGGGATGAAGAGGGTTTGGAAAATGGTTGTGTAAAAAGAATTATGGCTATTTTTGCCATAATACATAAAATCATGTAAATGTTACAAGTGGACCTTGATGCCCTTTAAGTGATATCTATATTTTTTTTTTGTACAAAATGATGGCCACTTGCAATATGCAATATTGCAATAAACATGCAATAAAGTTATGGTAAATAAAAATGACAATAGTATTCCATAATGTTCAGCTTTTTATGATTTGCTCACTGTGGGCAACAGTAAAAGTACATTTACCCTATACCCCATTACCGTATTCAGAATTTTAAAATATGTTAGGAATACTTTTTCAGGTATGTGGGCATGTGTACCCCCAAATCCACTGTTTACAGCTGTCTGCCTGTCAGTGTAAAATCCAGTAATTACTGCTCATTGTAGCAGTTGACTCAGAAGGCCACACCCAGACACAACTGACAGTTACTGTAATCCCACCGTCCTGCCTCCTTTCAGCACCCACACAGCCTCACCAGTTTCTGTGTGCTCTTTGTAATAGAAAGCTTAGCCTTACAAAATCTACAGGCAAAAATATGCCCAATTATAATATTTTCATCTGTTTATATGCAAGTTAAATGCAGCTACACCATTAAAAGTGGAACAGGGCAGAAGTTCATTTGAAGTGTTTTTGAGGTTTGAATAAAACATTGCTTTTTTCATCTAAACTATTTACACAAGTTAAAATCGATTGTTACCACATGAAGTAATTTCTAATACTGAACATTTTTACACTATATTTGACTGAACACATAACCGAAGTATCAATAGAACTACTGACTTTTACTGACTGGAAAATTTAAAAGAAATTTTTGATAACATACTGTAAATTTGTTCTGGAAATAGTCATCTAGAAAGTTTGAACACTGCCAGTCAAATTTGGGATGCATTTACTTCAAAACAATAGGATCTAACTGCTCACCATTTGGCCTTGAGGGCCAGGGATGCAGCCTCACTTCACCCCGGAAGGTTGTGGCTAAAATAAGACTCCACCTGTGGACTAAAACTCTGTGTTTTGGTAGTGACAGAAATGTGGGGCATCAGTTTTAACAAAGTTTTTTATTTAAAAATTAAACTCAAATTAAATTCAAATGTTTCAACTTAACTTTAAAATAATTTGAAAATATCTTTTTAAAACAAAAAAATTCCAACAAAAATATATTTATCTTATTTAGACTTTTATACTCATTTTCACAAGTTGAAATTTCACAGAAAGTATCTATAAATGATGATTTTGTATAGAAAGTATTAATAATGATTTTGTATGTATTTAGTTTATTACCATCTCAATAAATTATTTGGGTTAAATAAATCATAATTTAATCCTTATAAATGTCTAAGTGGAATCTACTGTGGGACCACAGTTTGAACAAAATTGGTAGAATGGTTCATATGTCATCACTGCAATAAATAACACATGAAAATGAGGTTTTTATATGACTGATTTTGATTTAATTACCTGTTTTGAACTTGTAGCTTGAATAATGCTATTTCTGAACAGGTGCGTTCTCACTTAAATTTCCCCAATGGAAACCTGAAACTTAAAATATTTCTTTTCCTTGAGTACTAAAGGGGAATTCCACTGATTTTTCAAAATTTCAGCATAATTCAAGTGTTGAGATGTCAGACGTTTGATGTCAAATGAGTCATTGTAGAGAAACTCAAATTTTCTTTATAGTAGTGGTGATGGGAACCAGGGGCCACAATGTCTACAGCTTATATAGCCATTTTATGTGCTATCCAGAACAACCAATGTTTATGTGTAATGTTAATGATGGTAAAATAGCAATAATAGGAAACTTTTCTTGGGGATTATTTTGCCTTACAGTGCCTGCATGTGCAACTCTGCCATTAATAAATGTTAAAGAACTCAAATCTCAGAACTATTGTAAAACAGTGTTTCAGGCATCAGGATGTGTATTCATAGCCATTTCATGTAATATCGTCATCTGAGGGAGATTTTAGAGGCATTAAACTCCATTGATTAAATTCCAATCACCATCACTGTGAACAATTCTGACTCTGTAAATTTCTCACTTCAGACGCCTATTAATGACTTTGTCTCAATACTTTAATTTTGAAAAATGTTAAACATGTTCACAACCTCAACACAACAAGTTCACATTTCTTTTAGAAGCTGCTCTGAGTTATGAGGTGTCTAGTTGGGCTTTGCCACACCTTGCTAGTGAGCTGCAATCTGATAGACATTGTGTGCAGAGTGGAGGTGCACAAAGAGAACAGGCTTGTTTTACAGCCATGTAACTCTCCTGGCTCGCCATCTGTTTGGAGTGTGTGTGCGTGTGTGTGTGTGTGTGTGTGTGTGTGTGTGTGTGTCTGTGAATGAGGCAGATGAAGGTGAAATGCTGGAAATGTTCCTGTCCCTCTGTCTCAACACTCCTACGTACCAGGAAGTAATCAACAGACTACGTGCGTAGTAAAAGAAAGGCCCTTTACCTTTCAAATGAAGTTACCTTCATCAAAAATGTCAGCAGAGTGTGTTTGGTAGACTGTGCAGAAAGCAAAAGCTGATTTAGAAATTGAGATACGGTGCCAAGAGCAATGCTTTTCTGAAATTTTGGCAATGATGCACAAAACAGTGATGTTTTTGGAAAAACCTTTTTCGTGAAATTTAATGTGGCCAACTACTTCAACTTGTGGTTGCTCTGGAGCATAAAGGTGTAAATAAGCTAGTAACAGTTTGATAATTTGTTTAATTTTTTAAAAAAATTCTTTTTAGCACTGAGTGAAATCGAACTTCAACAATTGAGGGAGTTCCCTCAGTGCGTATGCACACTTAAAGGTATGTCACAACTGTTTAAACACGGCCCACGTGTTGATCTTGACGGCTTGTTCCACCTCACTGACGAACCTGGTTTAACCTCACCCCACACTGGCTGGAATCTTGTCGGACTGCACCTGAGCATGCACAGACTGGTGCAGGAATCCTCCACAACTTTCCGACACTCTGGAATTCTTCTGTGATGTCACGCAATGGCAGCTTATTGTCCTGCACTTCAGACACATATCACTTACATTTAGCAACAGTTTCTCTTTTTGTGCCATGTGTATACATGTAGGTCCATGCAGTGGATGAAATTGATGCTTTTGGTGTGTTTGCAAAGGTATAGGCTATTAATTTAAGCCATTCAAATGTCATTTTACAGTTTGAAACATTTTATAATTTGCTAAAAATGTCAGCATAAATTGCAAATTTCACGAGTCATTGACATTTTCCGGCTGGCTCTGGTTTAGGCTGCTTTTTAAAAGTGAGCAATGAAAATGCTGTATCACATTTGCTAAATTGTTTAGAATATTTTTTGATGCATTATTTTTCTTAATTTTAAAAAATGCTGTCCTACATTTTCATGTCACTACCAAAACACAAAGGGTTGTGATCCATACACGGAGCCTTATCCATATTTATTATATAAGTAAAAGTGGAATTTTGAGGTGAAATCAAATATCCTTTTCACAGACAAAAA